GGCAATACGGCAATACGGCCCAGCAATTTTTTTCAGGGGCGGGCGGATTGGACAGACCAATGGCAGCGATTTTTTTTCAGGGGCGGGCCACATTGGACAGACCAACGGGCCGGATGTGGCCCGCGGGCCGTAGTTTGCCCACCCCTGGTCTAAAGCCATGCCGAGTTCCCTTTGTTCTCAAACCAAAAATTGACGAGCAATTGGACAAATTAATAGCACAAGGTGTGTTAGAACCCATCGACCATGCCTGATGGGAGACCCCAATTGTAACCCCCGTAAAACCTGACGGATCTTTGAGAATCTGTGGGGATTACAAGGCCACCCTGAATCACGCGCTACAGTAGAGTGCCTATCCAGTACCCGTGGTCCAACACCTTCTTCACTCGCTTGGGGGTGGAAAGGTATTCGCAAAGCTTGACCTGGCCCAAGCGTATCAGCAGCTGCCAGTAGACGCAGAGACCGCAGAAGCCCAAACTATAGTTACGCACAGGGGTGCGTTCAAATGTAATAGACTCCAGTTCGGAGTAAGCGTAGCACCTGGCATTTTTCAAAGTTTGATGGAAAGGTTGCTACAGGGCATAAAAGGAGTTGTACCCTACTTCGATGATGTATTGATAGCCGCCCCTACAAGAAGTCAGTTAGAAAAACACCTGAGAACTGTCCTACAAAAATTCCGGGACGCAGGACTCAAAGTTAAGAAGGAAAAGTGCCAATTATGCACTGAGAGGGTTGAATTTCTTGGTTACCTTCTTGACAAACAAGGAATTCACCCTACCGAAAAGAAATTGGCTGCCATTAAAAATGCTCCAAGACCTAGGAACAAGATAGACCTCCAAGCCTTCCTGGGCCTCATCAACTTTTATAACATCTTCCTACCCCAGAAGGCGACTGTTGCTGAACCCCTGCATAGGCTTCTTGACAAAAAGGCTTCCCGGTTTTGGGGACGCCGAGAGGACCAGGCCTTCCAACAAGTAAAAGACCTTTTAACATCAGATGCAGTGTTAATGCAATATAACGAGACACTACCATTGACGGTGACTTGTGATGCCTCACCTTTTGGAGTAGGAGCCATCCTGAGCCACGTCCTACCAAATGGTACGGAGGCGCCTATTGCATACTTTTCAAGAACTTTGTCTAAAACTGAAAGGAACTATAGTCAATTAGATAAAGAAGCCCTTGCTATTGTATCTGCAATTAAACGGTTCCACGAATATGTGTATGGAAGATCCTTTTCCATAATCACAGACCACAAGCCATTGCTTGGCATTTACGCAGGGGATAAACCAACTCCCCACATCCTATCGCCAAGAATGACACAATGGTCGGAGTTCTTAGCCGCCTACGACTACCAGTTAAGACATCGACCGGGGAAAGCCATTCCCCATGCTGACGCCTTAAGCCATTCACCATTACCTGAGTTCCTAGACAACCCAGCTCCTACACTATCCACGCTACAAATTGAGATGCTTCCCTCACCTCCACTAACTGCACAGGATATCGCATTAGAAACAAAAAAAGACCCTTGTTTGGCGCGGGTCCTCAGCTGGGTAGAGAGGGGATGGCCAGAAATCGAACCCAATGACACGTTCAAACCCTTCAAAAACAGACAAACAGAACTTTTCTCCCAAAAAGGATGCGTGTTATGGGGAGACCGAGTAGTCATTCCAGAAAAACTACAAAAGAAAGTCCTGAAATTGCTGCATGATGGACACCCAGGCATCGTACGAATGAAAGCACTGGCAAGGAGCTACGCCTGGTGGCCAGGTATGGACAGACAAATCGAAGCGTGGGTTGCCACCTGTAGCAAATGCCAAGAAACACGTTCGGCTCCACCAAAAGTACAACCAATGGAATGGGAAACACCCAGGGGTCTATGGTCCCGTATCCACATCAATTTTGTGGGACCTACAAAAGGACATACTTTTCTAATAACAGTAGACGCCTACTCGAACTGGCTCGAGGTGAACAAGATGAAGACCACCACCACAGAAGCGGTCATCAAAAAATTGAACAGACTGTTTGCAACGCATGGGTTACCAGATGTCTTGGTTTCCGACAATGGCCCGCAATTTACCGCCTTAGCGTTTGAACAATATCTAGCGGACCGGGGGATACGCCACACCTTGACATCACCTGCTCACCCGGCAGCTAATGGCAGTGCTGAATGAATGGTTCAGTTCACTAAAAAAACCTTACACAAAATGGACCAAGGAAACATCCATGACAAAGTCACCAGGATGCTCCTCCTCCAACATATTACACCAAACACCACCACAAACAAAAGCCCAGCCAAACTCCTGATGGGCAGGAAACTTAGATCGCATCTGGACCGCCTACACCCTGCCTACACCCCAGAAAAGCCCCTGGGTTCCAGCAGCAAACATCGCACATTTAAGGTAGGAGACCTCGTATTCGCAAAGAACTTTACAGGTGACCCATTGTGGGTCCCTGCCAAAATAACACAAATTACGGGGCCCCGTTCCTACCGATTAGAAACCACAGATGGAAGATTGTGGAAATGCCACATCGACCAGCTGCGTTCAAGATTGACAACTACCCCCTCCACGAACCCTGAACCCGAAACCAGAGGGGGAAGGGAAACCGAGGGTTTTGAAAACGAACTAACACCTGGTCCAGGACACGCAAACCCACAGTCCGCACAACAAAGCCCAGCATATTCACCAGCTGAAGAGGAGCCATGGCAGATGGTCATCTCTCCAGGCAACAGCAGCCGAACGGGGTCAGCAAGTCCAGAGGATCCAGACGACAGGAATGAAGGAAGCATTGAAGGTATCCCCGAGTCACCTCCAAGGATACCCAGCATAGAAGCCAGGTCACCTTTACAGCTGAACACAGCAAGCAGTCCACCAGAACCAGAATCCGAGCAAAGACAGGTTGAACAACGCAAATCAGGTAGACAGGTGCGAAGACCTGCCTACCTGCGCGAATACATCACCCCACCCCTGAGACGAAACCTAGAGGGGAGGGGTGTTCTGAACTAGCAGGCTCGTAAACCTGCAAACCTGACTGGCCCTTTCCACAGCAGGCTCGTAATCCTGCATATTTGATTGGTCCGTGAACAGCGGGTCGTGATTGGTCGTTCCGGACTGATCCGATTGGCTAGTTAATGGGCTGCCGCAATTGGACGCTCCAAGCGCGGCAAACTTAAATCATTGGACTCTTTGACAGCAGCGAGCTCTATAAAAGGAGCTGCTGCTGCCAGACTCATTGCGCTGCTTTTCTGAAGTCACTAATAAAGAGTTGGAGTCACTATTCGATGTCTCGTCTCCATTATTGCGCCCACTCTCCAGGACAGAACACATTAAATTGCCTTTGGCAGTTATTCGGAAGTCATTGCATAGTTTGCAATTCTGGTGTAATATGTGTCCAATGGAAGCACATCATGATTTCTTTTTATTCATATCCATTTCATGTATTAATAACCAAGTTTATACTTATATTTGTTATCTAATACATGCTTCACAAATAAAAAATGGATAAATAAAATACATAAAATAGATTATCAGGACTTACCCACTGAGGAAAGAATTAAACCATTCAAAACAGACCTTCCAATAACCAATTCCACAGCCTGTCCATCATAACATGTTGGTGAACAACTATTTTGTGTTTATTGTTGCTTCCACTGGTTGCAAAACAATTTCCCTTTACTATCAATTCCCTTCCAATTCCTTTTCAAATGCCCTCCTGATTCCCTTCTAATTTTCTTCTGATTCCCTTCCCTTGCTCAGCACTCAGTTTCTGTGTGAGGATACACCAATATATTGCTTAGGGTTTTTCCCCCATGTTTTTGTCATCCAAATCTGTAGTTATAATTAAATAAGGAGGGCAGGCAGTGAATAAAGAGAGAGGAACTGTTTCAAACGTATCAAGCTTAGTCTGAAAATGAAAAAGGAAGAAAGAGAAACAATTTTATCTCAAACCTATAAAAAAGAATGATGAGAAAGTCTCTTGGGGAAGAATAGTCTCCAGAGACCTATTGAGTGATAATTGGGAAGCAGCAGAGGAAACCATCAGGCTAACAGATGAAACCACATTCCTTTGTGTTAAATGAAGAAGGTTAGGTTGTTGGACACTGCTGCCCCCTTGTGCAAAAACAGATAGAAAGGAGCCATCAGGCTGATGATCTGAAGAGACCTTCATTATATAGGTATGAAACTGAGGATTGGGACGATGTTTCTGATCTCCTGGAGTTTGCAGAATGACTAGAATGAGCTTGATAGCCCACCTCAAGATATCCAGTAAATAAAAATAAAATAATAATGTTAATACCAATAATTGTTAGTAGTCTTTTCATAAATATTTATTTATTAATGTGAGCATTTAATATAACCATTTAATGATTAAAAACATACATACCATATATATGTATGTATGTGTATTTATAAATGTATGTGTATATATATATATATGTGTATATACACACACACACGTAGAGACATCTAGATAGAGACGCATGTGTTTATTAAGAACCAAAGTATATCCTATTCTCACAGGTAATGTATAGTGCTATTAAATTTCTATTTATGAAATAGAATTCTGCACATTGACTGATATCTTTCTTTCATTGCTGCCAACTCATTCCTATATGGTCCTCATTTGAAAACCAAAACATACAGGGACGTACCACACATAGGAAGATAAACGATCGCAAGACTCTTAGAACTAACAATCAACTCAACTTGAAGAGCACTGCATCTCTTACTCTCATCTATGACAATGATATTGCAGCCAGACCTCAAAAACACTGCAAATATGAGAAAGAAAACAAAAGGAAAAGAAAAGAAAGAAGAAGCAAATACAAAGTTATGTATCTTCTGAATACAAGCAGCAACTCTGAAGTCTAGTACTATGTCTTGTTGACCTGGAAGAGTAGCTTGTTCACTCTGCAGAGAAGAGCAGCCTGGAGAAAGAATTAAGTTATCTCAATCCATTCATGTGAATGCATGAATGGATTGAGACAAAGGCCCAGAGGTTTTTCACATTTCCTCCTTTGCTTTCTCCCACTGTGACTTTCGTGCACAGTAATATGTGGCTGAGTCTGCAGCTGTCAGGGATCTCATGGTCAAATAATATTCATTGCGGGAGCCATCGGCTGTCAAGGTTGTTCGGCTTTGGAGGGATGAGGCATAGTATGTCCTCCAGTTATTACTATCCCAGTCTATCTGGCCCACCCATTCCAATCCTTTTCCTGTAGCCTGGCGGATCCACACCCAGTATACATTTGTGATGGAATCCCCCGTCACTTTGCAAGTTAATCTAAAGGATCCTCCAGGGTTCACTGTTCCTGGCCCGGATTCCACAAGTTGGACGGTGGAATGGACATCTAAACAAATGACAAAGCAGGAATTAGAACACAAGCTTCTTTTTGGTTTGTCTCATTGTTCAGGTCTATCTGAAAGATACTCACAGAGAGGAGCGGCTACTAAGCAAAGAAGAAGGATGACAAGATCCATTGGGGAGTAAGGATAGCTCAATTTTCTTTAGAGCAATGACAGCTTTGGCTCTATGATGCTCTTTTGTGTGTTTGTGATTATTTAAAGGAGAAACAGCTCAGTGGCTTCATTTGCATGTGAGTTTCATGTGGAACTTAAAAACCTGCTGATAAGGAAGATGGCTAAAATCCATCAATAGGATTAGGTCCAGAAGTAGAACTTCAACTGTGGTTTCACATCTGAAACACATTTAGAGTCCAGAGGATCAGAGAAGCAGATTAGGAAAATTGCTTGCGGTAGAAGAGAAATTTTATCCTGTCAGTTTTCCAATGGCCATAGCAGGATCAGAGCATTGAAACCAACGAAGCTGTTCTCCAATGCTTCTCTTTCAATTTATCTCTTCTATTTTAATGAGTTTTTTTTTTCAAATTCAAAATGTACATGAGTTGAAATCATCCCAAAATTCATAGTTTTCCCAGACTTCCTTTAAAGTTCAGTGTGCTGAGACCATTCATTCACTGACAAATGTGAGGTTATCTGACACATTTTCAACAGTCCAATTTAAAAGAGAATGTTTGAATGACCAGAAATTGCATGAACTTTGTATATAGATAGCCCTCTATCATGTGTCCATCGTTAGCTTCATAGTTTCTTTCTTTGCTATGAAGTTACTATATGCACTGAATATAACAAAATTCATCACTTTTGAATGTGGTGTGAATGTTGGTGTTGCAGTCTTTGTTGTCCCAACATAACCTAACACAAAGGCCATCCCCAGAATTATTCAACCAAAATGGAATATGAGAAAAATAATATTTTGAAAGTTTTCTTCTCCAAAGGTCATCTGAGTCATTTGAGCACAATCATCTGATTGCATCATCATTAAGTCAAGTTCCATGTGGTGTTTTTTTTTAATATGCATTAAGGAAAACAAAAGAGACCTAGTTTGTGTTAGGAATAACATAGGTTACCTAATGTAGTTTGGGTAAAATAATATATACACAGTATGATAGTGAGTTTAAGTGTGTGTCACTTTAACTGCAAAGCATGTAATTTTGGGTGCGGCTGTAAATCGCCATAAGAGGGAGCAAGAGAACTTGATTGATTGCTGGCTTACTGGATTGCTTGCTGACAATGATGGATTGTTAACTGCGTGTTCTTTGCTGTTGCTGAAGGAAAAAAGGAGGTTTGACTTCTTCATATCTCTACTGCGAAGAGATATATTACTGGACTGATATTTGTAAATTTACCGACCTCTTTTTCGACACTGGACTTTGCAACTGAATAATCCCTGGACGGACTGAAATAGTGTATGATATATGGACTGTTTGACTATGCTATAAATCTTACTGGAATAAACTATTTAACTAGCACATTGTATCTGTTTTACTGAGTGTAAGCTGCAAAACGTTTGTCTCAAATATTTGCCTGCCTGCCTGACTGCCATGCAGGTTCTGCTAGGGTGTATATCCCTAACACTGGTTATGGGCCCAGCTCCACAGTCAGACTAACCAGGATATAACAGGCTTATATAAAGTGAGAGTTTGTGTAGTTACACAATACTGTAAACAGACAGCTGTGTTTTTATTAATTATACTTTAATATCCAGAAAAAGATGGCACAAGTCAATTTACAAAGTTTGTCCCTAATATCCAAATTGGATGGAACAAACTATGTTTCATGGTCTATGAAATGCAGCCTACTTCTACGCAGAGAAGGTTTGTGGCATATAATTCAAAACCCACCAGAGGTAGATGCTTGGGATCCGGAGGATGAGGATGATGCCCAGAAAATACAAGAATATAAACTGAAGAATGAGCAAGCTCTCTGTATAATAGGACTGACACTCTGTGACCAGCAGCTTGTCCATATTCGTGGAGAAGAAACAGCTGCTAAGTGTTGGGAGAATTTAAAGAAGATTTATGTTCGAGACAGTGTAGGAGCACATATAAATCTTACACGGAAACTGTTCAGAACACATCTTCAAAAGAGTGGAGATATGTTGACTCATATAAACACTATGAAGAGAATTTTTCAGGAACTGCATGAAAAAGAACTTATCTTCACAGAACTACATCAGGTTTATATAATTTTGTCTTCGTTAGATGAGAGCTATGACAACTATGTAACTTCACTGGAAGTACTGCCAAAAGATAACCTCACATTAACTGACATTACTGGCAGATTAATTGAAGAAGCCAGGAGAAGGCTTGAAAGGGATCAACTCAGAAGGGAACAACCAACACAAGAAGATAAAGAATCTACGACAGCCTATACAATTAGAAAATGTTTTAATTGTGGAGGAAAAGGACATTTGGCTAGATTCTGCAAGAAAGGAAAACGCCACAATGCCAGTCAGAATGCTAAAAGGCATCAAAAGGATGAAAAATGCTTAGAGTTAGCCATGTATAGCAACGAAACTGTGAATAATAATTTATGGGTTGTAGATAGTGGAGCATCGCACTGCATAACGAAAGATAAGAAAAGATTTGTTAAGATGTCCACGAGTTCACAGCAGATATCGTTAGCTAATGGCTGGAAAATGAAAGCAAAAGGTGAAGGTATTGCACATTGTTCTTGCATAAAAGAAAATGTAAGAATGTTATATGTACCACAACTTAAGTTTAATTTGCTTTCGGTTAGAGTTTTGGTTAAACTAGGTTATGTAGTTACCTTTAGAGGAGAAAACTGCATAATAGAAAAGGAAGGTAAAAAAGTGACTGCAACTTTAAAAGGTGAATTGTATGTGTTAAATGATAATTCATTAGAGGTAGCTAACACAGTTTATAATAATGTTAAACCTCATGATGAATGCATACATTTGTTACACAGACGTTTAGGGCATATAAATTTTAAAATGCTCAAGCAAACGGTTGAACTGTCTGAAGGTATAAAACTGAAGCCTTGCAGTAAGTATTTGCACTGCAATGTTTGCAGTAAAGAAAAAAGCAAGGCAATACCAGCAAATAGAATTAATGGATTTAAAACAAAGGAACCTCTAGAGGTCGTATTTGCTGATATTATAGGTCCTAAAAAACCAAGTGTGGGAGGTGCTCGTTATATACTAAGTATAATGGATCATTATTCTAGATATGGTTTCTGTTATTTAATGAAAAGTAAAACAGAAACATATCAGAATTTCTTTAATTGGCTTAAATTCGCTGAAAGAAAAACTAAAAGGAAATTAGTAACTCTTGTAACTGATAATGGTATGGAATTTATAAACAATAAATTCCAAAATAGACTGAAGATGGCAGGTGTTGAACATAAAAAGTCTGCACCATATAGGCCACAACATAATTCCTTTATAGAAAGATGAGGCCAAACAATACAGGCAATGGCTCGTACTATGTTGTCGGATTCAGGATTACCTGAAACTTTGTGGGGAGAAGCAATAAGGTGTGGTAATCATATATTGAATAATGTTGTTAACTCAACAACAGGTGAATTACCATTCACATGGTGGCATGGTAGAAAACCTGACCTAAGCTACATGCACACATTTGGAGCACCAGCATGGGTGCATATTCCTACACAACTGAGACATAAGGGGCAGCATAGGGCTAAAAAGTTATTCTTTGTAGGTTATGAATCTAATCACAAATCATACAGATTCTGGGGAAAAGGTACACCTAGAGTTTACTGTAGCGCTAGTGCACAATTCCTTGAACATGTAGGATGGGAAAAACTGGAACAAGATTCAAGTAAGGAAATAATTATAGAAACCTACAAAAGACCAAAATCACATATCAGTAATAAGAAGAGTACAATTAAAGAGGAAGTACAGGAAGAGCACATAGGACCAGAAGAGGAAGAAATAGGTGAACAGGAAGAAATAGATAACCAGGAACAGGTAGTACATGAAAGTCCACCTGTAAGCCCTGTAATACCTAGACGGTCAACACGTAAAACCAGACCACCTCACAGGTACCAAGCAAGTGTAGTTTTCCAAGTTAGTAAAGTTCCAACTACTCTTAAAGAACTTAGAATGTATCCAGCAAAGGAACAGGAAAACTGGCAAAGAGCAATGGAGAAAGAATTAAATTCATTAAAACAAATGCAAGTTTATGAAAATGTTAAATTACCTCCAGGTGCAAAGTCCATTGGCTATAAATGGATATTTAAATTAAAAACAGGTTAAAATGGGACTGTTACCCATAAGGCTAGCTTGGTAGCTCAAGGATTTAATCAAACTGCATGTGATTATGATGAAGTATTTGCACCAAGTCTAAAAGCAACAACCTTGAGAGCAGCTTTAGTGTGGGCAGCTAAGAAGAATTATATTATAAATCACTTAGATGTAGAAACTGCCTATCTGCATGCACCATTGCAGCACACTATATACTTAAAGAAACCTGTAGGAATTAAGGATGATAAAACAAATAATGACTGTTGGAAGCTTAAAAAGAGTCTCTATGGATTAAAACAATCTGGTTACGAATGGAACCAATATATTGTTAAGGAGTTAAAAAATATAGGGTTTAAAGCAGGTTTAGCTGATCCATGTGTATTTAAGAGAGAGAAAAATGGAACAGTGTCATTATTATTGTTGTTTACAGATGATATTGCCTTAATTACAAAAACTAATAATGAAGCTACTGAAATAATATCATTATTAGGTAAGAGGATAAAATTAAAGCAATTAGGAGAAATAAAACAGTATCTCGGATTGACAATAAATAAAACCAAAAAGTGGCTATAAGATATCTCAAGAGGATAAGATTTATCAATTACTAAAAACATACAAGATGGAACTTTGTAAACCGGCTAAAACTCCAATGAGTCAGGAATTTGGCCACACTGATGCTCAAAGTCCAAAATTCGATAAGACTATTTATCAATCACTAATTGGTAGTTTATCGTATATTAGTAATTGGTCAAGGCCAGATATTGCTTATGGCGTTAATCAATTGGCAAGATTCAACGCTGAACCCACTGAACAACACTGGCAAGCAGCAAAACGTATATTAAGGTATCTTAAAAGGACAATGCACTATGCATTGTATTTGGAGCCAAAAGATGATCTGATTTTAAGTGCATATGCTGATGCAAGTTTTGCAACAGACATAAACACTAGAAAATCAACTTCAGGTACGGCTATACTATTAGAAAAAGCACTGATTGGTTGGAGGTCAATTAGACAGCAACACATAAGTATGTCCACAATGGAAGCAGAATTTTCATGTCTATCTTTATTATGTACTGATTTAATTCTGAATAAACAGTTGTTATTAGATATGGGAATAACTGTTAATGATTCCATTGTAGTTTATGAGGACAATCAAGCAGCCATACGGTTGGCTACAAATATTGCTGTGAAAACGAGATCTAAGCATACAGATCTTAGATATCTGAATGTAAGACAATCTGTAAAAAATGGTTTGATAAGATTGGAATATTGCATGACTGAAGAAAATTTTGCTGATCAGTTTACAAAAGCCCAAGGTTCAGTCAAACATAAGGAAAGTTGTGACAACTATGGTTTAAAGTTGTAAATAGATATATATATATATATTATATTACCCAAAAGGGGAGTATGTTAGGAATAACATAGGTTACCTAACGTAGTTTGGGTAAAATAATATATATAGACTATGATAGTGAGTTTAAGTGTGTGTCACTTTAACTGCAAAGCATGTAATTTTGGGTGCGGCTTTAAATCGCCATAAGAGGGAGCAAGAGAACTGGATTGATTGCTGGCTTACTGGATTGCTTGCTGACGATGATGGATTGTTAACTGCGTGTTCTTTGCTGTTGCTGAAGGAAGAAAGGAGGTTTGACTTCTTCATATCTCTACTGCGAAGAGATATATTACTGGACTGATATTTGTAAGTTTATCGACCTCTTTTTCGACACTGGACTTTGCAACTGAATAATCCCCGGACGGACTGAAATAGTGTATGATATATGGACTGTTTGACTATGCTATAAATCTTACTGGAATAAACTATTTAACTAGCACATTGTATCTGTTTTACTGAGTGTAAGCTGCAAAACGTTTGTCTCAAATATTTGCCTGCCTGCCTGACTGCCATGCAGGTTCTGCTAGGGTGTATATCCCTAATATCTGATTGCATCATCATTAAGTCGAGTTCCATGTGGTGTGTTGTTGTTTTTTAATATACATTAAGGAAATCAAAAGAGACCTAGTTTGCATTAGTAGTAATTATCCTTCTTGCAATTATCTGAGCTAATTTGTTCTCCATATTGACTTCACCCAAGGGACTGCTAGACAACATCAAAAACACTAATGCATAAGTGATATTGCAAGGAACTATAAAACCTTTGTTTTGCACAATTCCAAGCTAGGGAACGACAAAGAAGAAGGCAGAATTTATCCAATACTATCCAATCCTTTGGTTTTCTCCAATTCATTTAAATAATTATTAGCTTATCTTTGCATTGCTTGAAGTCTAAGGAGTACTTCCAGAACTGGGCTGTCCTTAGTTATACTCCTTTTTCTTTGCTGCAGTTGTGGAGTCGGTTGTCGGATGATGTAGCTTTCTGATGCTAGTAAAGCTCTCAGCTTACAGATGACCTGGAAACTGCCTCCATCTAGAGTGATGTGGAATCAGAGGTTTGTGTTAACAATACTAATACTCCTTCCATCTTATGGAAGAGCTAAAGCAGACACCAAGAAGTGCTCTAGCAAAGAGTCATTTCTTGTTCCACATGAGTGGTACCAGCCTGGCAAGTTCCTGATTGGTGGGATAGTTTCTCATATCATAAATGTATATTTCCAGTATACTTTTGATGATGCTCCATCTAAGAAACTCAATGATGACCTTCCTCTGTAAGTATTTCTCACTTGCTCCCCATTCTTCTCCTCTGCCATCAGGGCTAAACACTCTCAGCTGCTGAGATGTAGTCATTCAATGGCATAAAAGAGCAGATGGCCATCCTATCTTCTTTCTACAATTAATAGTTATTTTATACCTTAGAGCTAGCAGCACTTAGTTGCTCTTTAATTTCCACGTTAAACAAGACATTTAAGGATAATAATTAAGGTAGAAGTAAATTAAGGTAAAGTGGATTGCCTTAATGCATGGGAGGGATTGCAAGAGGCCAATGGTTCATTGATGTTTAGATTGGAATCACAATAATAAATAGCTATGAAAGGAGAGATAAGCACAGCTGTACAAAGTTTGTCCAAAGTTTAAAATAAAAAACAAAAACTGGCTCTGGTGAAAGGAATAATATTCTGTTACTTTAGACCAAAAGTTATTCTTTCCTCCATTTATAATGTTTATAGAAATGACAAGATACTTGCATTGCAGTTCATTACAAATTATGAAAACCACTTCATAGTTAAGGGGATTATATCAGTTGTGTTTAGTAATTAGACACTTACACTAAGCATTAAAATTTAACCATCACCCTCATATAAACCATATAAATCATATAAACCAGAAAAATGATGTGCTTATTTCACACAAACAGTGTTGCTTTTTGACAAAGTGTGGACAACACTACCGTTGAATGCTATGACATCAGTGGAACTCTCTTAGCTAATGTATTATCTAGTTTTCCAAGCATGAAGAATAGGAATTGACTATTGAACAATACTGAAGGGAGAAGCCAATTAGTATAAAACTGCAGGTGTAAGATGAAATATTTTGTGAGTTACATGATGTTTCAACAATCATAAATATAAAGAAGACAGCAATACAAAACAAAACTCTAAATAAAAGACATTTGTTTTTAATGCAAGAATCATACATATTATTGGAGGTGTTTAAGAATGGTCTCCTGCTTGAGCAGAGAGTTGGACTAGAAGATCTCCAAGATCCCTTCCAACTCTTTTATCCTATTAGTTAGCTAGGAACCAATCTACTTTACCCACTTGTAGTTCAATACTTGGAGTGTCTCTAATCCCTCTTGTGATTATTTTTTTTCTAAATCTTTAAAATTTTCTTCTTATTCAGCTCCCTGATTTTACTAATGAAGGAGCCAATAAGGGTTGGTGGAAAGATTTCCAATTAATTTTGCCTTATTTAAATCTGAGCCATGCAAGAAGGTGGCAATAGATTAAATTAACTAAAGATGTATAATTTTTTTTGGTAGTATGTTGCCAAAGTTCTACCAACACCTCCTGGCACTGGCCTTTGCTGTGAATAAGATCAACCAGGATCCAATGATCTTGTCGAATGTCACCCTTGGCTTCCACATTTATGACAGTCATTTTGATTCAAGGATGACCTATCGTATCACTTTGGATTTGCTTTTTAAGTCACAGGCATTTCTCCCCAATTACAAATGTGATCTTCACATAAAAAATATAGCACTCGTTGGGGGAATCAGCCCTGACATCTCCTCCTATGTGGCAGACATCTTAAGTCTGTACAAGATTCCACAGGTAAGATATGTGCACATCAACAGAGCAGCCCTATTGTTTTGGTACAGTAACTGGTTTTGTTTTTCTGAAAGTGAGTGATGCATTCCCAAAAAAGTGGATGTTAATGGAAAAAAAATGCGGAAAGCTTCCAGAGCTTGGAAGAGATACAAGCATAAGGTAGAACCTAGGATATTATGTAAATAACAAAATAACAGTGCTGAATAATAGGTCATCCATCATCATCATCATCATCATCATCATCATCATCATCATCATCATCCAGAGCCACGGGTGAGATTGGCAGTGTAGAAATGTAATGAATAAGTAAATAATATGTAAAATAAATAAATTGATAAATAAATATCTCTGAGCGTGTCCTTTCAGCTCACATATGGATCATTTCCTATGCAAAGAAGCAATATGGGGGAGACCTCTTCATTTTACCATACAGTCTCCAATGAAGGCCATCAATATACAGGCATTATCTATTTACTTAAACATTTTGGGTGGATCTGGGTTGGACTTTTGGTTGGAGATGACCAAAGCGGAGAATGTTTCTTGAAAAAGCTGGAGTCCTTATTTCTCCAGAATAAAATTTGTTCAGCCTTTGTTCAAAGAATGCCAGTTGACAGCCGATTCCCTGAACTTGGTGAACTGAACACCATTTCTGCAAATATTAAAGAGTTCTACTCAGATCTGAAAGTTAATGTCCTTGTTGTCTATGGTGAAACGCTAGTTATAATGTGGCTAAGCACAGCGCTATTTTTCGCAGCTGTTAACTATACTGAAAAGGTGTGGATTATGACAGGCCAGATTGACTTTGCTTCAACCGTCCTTTCAAGGGACTGGAAATACGAGATATTCCAAGGTGCCCTTATTTTTGCAATCCACTCCACTGAGCATGAAGAGTTTCAGGTCTACCTTCAGAATATAAAACCAGCCAAGGCACATCTTGATGATTTTTTCAAGGAATTCTGGGCACAAGCCTTTGGTTGTTCTGTTCCAGATCCTAAGGACCTAACAGAGGCTCACAACTTTTGTACTGGGACAGAATCCCTGAGGGATCTTCCAGGTATGCTGTTTGAGATGGTCATGACTGGCCATAGTTACAGCATCTACAATGCAGTCTTTGCTGTGGCCCATGCGTTACACAACCTGGATTTATCTCAACAAAAAAATAAAGCAGTCAGGATGACAAGATATCTTGAAGAGATAAACCCTTGGCAGGTAATGTCTCCAGAATGAGAAAAAGAAAAAAAAAGAATGAGAAGAAACAATACATAGCACCGAAAAAATAATTCACATGAAACTAAAATAAAAAGAAGTTTTTTTTTACTGATAATATATGGTACTAGTTTAGTTCACGTGCTTTGAAATGTCATGATGTGGTTGGGCTTAGTTTTTACGAAGGAAAATAAGGGGAAAAATTGTGCCTCTGCCTACCAGCATCTATTGGTATTCATTTGGCTAGTAACTTGTCAATGTGTGAGAAAGTTGAGGCTGTTTGGAAACTGAAATTGTATTTGCTGTATGAGCAAGTAGGAGACAGCAAGGAGCCTGGACATGGCTTAGCACAACTGTTCTATACTAAAGCTGCTTGGTGCTATGAAACTAAGGAACTCCTCTCCTCTCCTTGTGTTTTGTATTTAAAAGAGTTTTCTTTTTAGGTGGGGAGGGGGAGTAAAACTCCTTAGCATTAGAACATTAGAGCAATAATAATATATGAAATACTAGTGCTCTGATGCTCATTTAAAAAAATCATTTCTTAGTGAGCACCTAGAAGCCCAGAGGAACATTCGTGCCAAATATCAAGTTTGTAGGCTTTATGTTTCTGGAGATTTTGTGATGATGTGTGAGTGGTATTTCACTTTTATATAGAGAGATTCATGGATTATATTTTCCATTGGGGTTAGAGAAATCCTCTTATATTTTCCAGCTCTAGGGAGCTCAGTGACTCATGAGCTTAGGATGCTGGGCTGACAATCAGCAAACTTGCATTTGAGACACAGTTGTTGCTACAGGATGGTGCGATCTCCCATCATATTGTCCAGCTTCTGCCAATCAGTATTTTCAAAGTGGACAACCATCAGTAAATATTTCAGTACCATTTCAGTACCATCTGTGGGCAACTTAATGGGGACATGAAAAGGACATCCAATTGGGCATCCCCAGGCAATGGAATTGTCACTATTCAATCATTTCACACACAAAAAAAGCTAAAAAATAAGCTAAAGCTAAAATATTACAGAGTTGTAATAGATACAATTCTGAAAATGAGTAAAATCTTTTCATTCACTTTCACAATTACCCTTTTTAAAGAAGGATTTTCAAAAGTCTTCATATCTGGTCATTAATCAGGTTAAAATAAGCTATTTTTAAAATGTAAGAGTAGAATGAATAGATTCAGGCATTCAAACAGATATTTCTACATACCTAGTCCTTAAAAGTTTTATTCAGTTCCTTACATTATTACAATTGATTCTCTTATTCTACTATTGCCCTGGTTCAGTCACTTAAAACAATAATAATGATATTTTCTAGGAAGCCAGCAAGGTGAAAAGGAATCCAAAGGCTGTTCGAAAAACAATGTAGTAGTAGAAATATGTGTTAAATCCAGAGGGGTGGTGAGAACATTACAAAGACATATCTAATTGAATCAGGTTAAAAGAAGGAAAAGGGAAGACACAGGCAGCAGCAATCAGAATAGATCTGGAAGGGACCTTGGAGATCTTCTAGTCCAACCCACCGCTCGAGCAGAAGACCCTATACCATTTCAGATAGGTGGCTGTCCATTCTCTTCTTAAAAACTTCCAGTGATGAAGCACTTGCAACTTCTGAAGACAAGGTGTTCCACTGGTTAATTGTTCTCACTGTTAGGAAGGTTCTACTTAATTCCTGGTTGCTTCTCTCCTTGATTAGTTTCCATCCATTGTTTCTTGTCTTGCCTTCTTGTGCTTTGAAAAATAAATTGACCCCTTCCTCTCTGTGGCAGCCTCTCAAATACTGGAATACTGATATCACGTGCCCCACCCTGTCCATCTTTTCTCTAGACTAGCCATATCCAACTCCTCCAATTTGTATTTCATATGTTTTTATCTCCAGGCCCTTAATCATCTTAGTTCTTCTTCTTTGCACTTTCTTCCTAATTTCTAGTTTTTTTTCATAGCTTCTGTAAAGTTTATTATATCACAATAAAATATAAGTCTAGTTATTTCATATCTGGTGTACAATGAAGAGTTAAAATGTTTATATAAAAAGAGGAGCTACAGCTCTAAAATAACAAGAATAAAGGTGACAAATGGCAGTGACAAAATGTGTATGTATTTTCTTAGGTGTTTTCTTAGGTGTTTCTTTCTTTGTTCTTCTTTATCTTCTTAGCTCCACCATTTCCTTCAGACCCTTTCATTCAACAACACAAATGGAGAAATGGTGTCCTTTAATGAGAATAAGGAGATGGGATCCGGATTTGATATAATAAACATGCTTATTTTCTCTAATAACTCTTTTCATAAAGTAAAAGTTGGAAGGATGGGGACCAAGGATTCTCAAGGAAAGAAATTCAACATTGAGGATGACAAGATTAAATGGCATGGAAACGCTAACAAAGTGAGCATTCGTAAATCATCTGAAAAGTTTTAATTGTTGGGATTCTCTCCCTTTCCATTACAACAAATAAAAATAAGAAAATAAAATAAACAATAGGACAGAGACGGTAGGCATATTGGTGCGCTTATGCACGCCCCCTACAGACCTCTTAGGAAAAAGGTGAGGTCAATAGTAGACAGTCTAAGGTTAAAGTTTTTGGGGTTTGGGGAAGAAACCACAGAGTCAGGTAGAGTATTCCAGACATTGACCACTCTGTTGCTGAAGTCGTATTTCCTGCAATCAAGTTTGGTGTGGTTAATCTTGAGTTTGTATCTATTGTGTGCTCCTGTGTTGTTATGGTTGAAGCTGAAGTATTCATTGACAGGTAGGACATTGCAATGTATGATTTTATATACCATACTTAGATCAGACTGAAGACGGCGTAATTCAAGGTTTTCTAGTTCTAGAATTTCAAGTCTGGTGGCATAAGGTATTCTACAATGAGTAGAGGAGTGGAGAACTCTTCTTGTGAAATATTTCTGGACTTTCTCAACTGTGCTAATATCAGATATGTAATGTGGGTTCCAGACTGATGAGCTGTATTCAAGTATTGGTCTAGCAAATGTTTTGTATGCTCTAGTTATTAATGTGATATTACCTGAGAAAAAGCTACGTAGGATTAGGTTAACAACACTTAATGCCTTTTTGGCTATGTAGTTACAGTGGATTCTAGCACTTAGATCATTAGAGATCAGTATTCCAAGGTCCTTTCCAGAGCTTGGATCATCAACAAGGTCTTGACTATTCAGCTTGTATTTTATTTTCTGATATTTTTTTGCCTATATGTAAGACAAAGCATTTATTTGTTGAGATTTGAAGTTGCCATTTGTTTGACCATTCTGATACATAGTCAAAATATTTTGAAGGGTAGCAGTATTGTCTGTGGTATTGAACAGCTTTACATCATCAGCGAAAAGAACACAGTTGCTCTTAATATGATCACAGAAGTCATTTATGTAGAGTATGAAGAGAGTTGGTCCTAGAACACTGCCTTGGGGGACACCACTATTGACAGGTACAGAATTTGATAGGACACTCCCAATTTTGACCATTTGTTGTCTGTTTGACAGGAATGCTTCTATCCAGTTATGCAGTTGTCCAGAGATACCATAGGATTTTATTTTTAGGAGTAGTTTGTCGTGTACCACTGAATCAAAGGCTTTACAGAAGTCTATGTAGATTGCGTCTATTGCTTTGCCCTGGTCGAGTTGTGTCATCCATATGTTTTTGCAGTGTAAGAGTTGCAGATTACAGGATAGTTTTTTTCTGAAACCAAATTGTTTATTGGAGAGTAGGTTGTTTGTCTCTAAGTGGACGATAATGGATTGGTTAATAATTGATTCCATGACTTTACAGGTGACGCAGTATAAGGAGATTGGTCTGTAATTTTCAACTAGGCTGGGGTCTCCCTTTTTGAAGATGGGGATGACTGTGGCTTGTGACCATAGGTTAGGCAAGGAGCTGGTCCTGAAAGATTTTTCAAAGATTATGCTTAGAGGTTCTGCTATGGCAGTGAATAGCTTTTTTAAGAAGTAGGCACATATTCCATCCGGTTCAATAGGTAGAGATGGTTTTAGATTGTGTAGTGCTTTTTCAACATTGTCTTCTGTAAAATCGATATGTATTAGATCATTGTAGTTATCTGTGATTCAGCTAGGAAATACTGGGCATGATCCATTGCTGTTTACAAATACTGAGCCGAAAAATGTGTTAAAGATGTTGGCTTTAATGGTGTCGTCGTTGCACTCTTTACCATTAGGTCCTATCAGGGGTGGAATGAAGCTTGAGTCTTTTAGTTTGTTGTTTACAAAATTGTAAAAAGCGCGGGTGGAATTGGTGCATAGAAGGTTTTCCTCTTGTTTAATGTGATAATTGGTGCATTCAGTCTTTATCTGGTGGCATAAATTTTTGTATCAGCTTTTGAAATTGGCAACGTGATCAGATTTGTTTTTCTGCCAGAGTGATCTCTTTTTGGATTGAAATTTCCTTATTGTTATGGGTAATTTGTTTTTTTTTGGGGGGGGGGGAGTTGTTTTTGGTACATATAGTTTGATGACTCTTTTGCCTTCAAATAAAAATATGTTGTAATGGTCTTCAACAGTATTGCATCCAGTGAATAGAGATTGCCAATCAAGGGATGAGAGATCGTTGTCTATAAGATCATAGTTGCCTTTTTTGAAGTTATAATTGGGGATTACATCATTGTGGTGATTTTTGTGTGGGCGTATGTTGAGACAAAAGTCAATCATATTGTGATCACTGCTGGAAAAGGGTTCTTTAGTTTGTATTCTGTAAATTAAATTCAAACTATTGCAGAAGATGAGATTGAGGCAGTTGTTTAGTCTAGTGTTGTTGTTTACTAGTTGTTCCAGTCCCAGATTTGTAACAGCATTGTAGAAGGTTGCGTGTATGGTTTCAGTTGTACATTCATTTAGGGTCCAGTCAATATGAGGTAGATTGAAATCACCAAGAAAGAGAAAAGGGTATGGGCAGGATGCTGCCCATGTTAGTAGTGTATTTAGCTTGTTTACATGCTCGATGTCATAATCAGGTGCTCTGTAACATAGTAAGAATCGAAATGTGATATTTAAGGATAGTTCACAAATGATGGTCTCAGGAAGAGCAAGCTCCTGGGTAACTTGGATATTTTTTTAGATGCAAGGACTTTTTATAGAAGATAGCAACACTACCTCCTCTACGAATTTCATGATCTGATCAGTAAACATGATAGTCTCTTACTGTGGTAATGGAGTCAGGGAGAGATGTGTTGAGCCATGTTTCACAGACAAATATAATGTCGAATTTAGCCATATTTAGTAAGAGGAAAAATTCAGGTATTTTATTTGCGAGGCTTCTTGCATTGAGTAGCTTTCATTTAAGGCCAGCAGTAGTTGGAATTGAGGTAGTTGGGGACGTGCGTGTCTAGTCTTGGGTGATGGTGGATTGGTTGGGGTGGGGTTGTGGTTGAAGGTTAAAGCTGAGTTGCAGGTTGTATGACTTACTTTTGATACAGTCAGCATGGTAGTCAATATACAGGTCCTTCTCTCCATTGTCTAGACATTTTCTTTTTTGAGTTCAGTGCGGAGTACACGGGAGCGGGCACATTGCTGTATGGTTAGAACATACTCAATTATCATGGCTCATGCCTCACATCATATAATAAAACCTATATGGAACACTCCTAGATACCAATACAAGGAGAAATGGAATACTTACAATGGAAAGGAAAACATTTTCAGTATTATTGTTTTAGGGTAAGAGGAGTGGCCTGGGGGCCTAGAGGTGGAGCCTCACCTCAAAATCAGGAGGCTGTGATCCTAGGTAGTGGCAGATATTTCTCTAGGCACAAAGAGAAAATACCTGCTGTGAACTCCATATAGGGCTCAGGAAGGGCATCCGGCCAGTAAATGCTCAGGTCCATTCAGATGCCCCAACTTTACTGTGATGCAAGGGATTGTAGAGCTTTTAAAAGAAAAAAAATGTTTTGGAGTAGTAGAAGCAAAAAAAAAGGAAGAAAAGACATTTACGTCTCTTCTATATTTAGTGGAAAATATAAATGGATTAAACTATCTCTGTCTTGGGAATTTATCCCCCTTTTCCTCTTTGTTTTCTGTTTTGGTTGTTCTTTAACCTGTAGACCTTTATCAGCTTTCTGTGGGAAAAAAGTTTACATGGATTTTGACTACATTTACAGGGATTTTGACTACAACATGTGAACTCTTTGTTTTCAGAAACATTTTGACAAGGGAATAGCATTTGTTCCTTGTCTACTTCTTCCTAAGTAAAACCAACATTTTATTGGAGGCAAGTTGGTTTATAGTGACAGTAGGAATACATTTGGGGAAAAGTTGTGAAATGGATGTCATTTTCTGGACCCTTCTCCTCCTCTGTTTTCCAGCTGTCCTTCAGCGTTGGGGTTTTTTTGTCCAAAGGACTCTGCAGATCTGCTGTTTTAAATTCAATTAAGAGGTACAAATAGACTCCAGATTCACAAAGGTAGAGAGATCCTTAGTAAGTCCTTGGAAGGAGAAGGAAGAAAAAGAAAAAAAAAAGAATGAGGAGGTGGAAGAGAGAAGGAGAAGGGGAAGGGGAAGAGGAAGAAGATTGTTAATAGTTAATTTTACATCAAGGGTTTACTTTAAGATGAAGTGTTGTACTTTATATGATACATTCAACATTGTACAGGACACATTATTTGTAGTGGCCTGCCTACCCACCCACCTACCTACCTACCTACCTACTTATCTACTTATTTACCTTCCAAACATGTGTAAATTGATTATTCATTTGCTATGTCATACCAGATCTTCTCTACCTAATCTTTCGATTAAACTTTTTTTAAAAAAAGATCCATCCCCTTTCCTTGTGTAATCCTTATTGCCAGCCTGGTTATGAAAAGAAAAAAAAAGAAGGAAATAAATTTTGCTGCTATGATTGCATTCAGTGTCCAGAAGGGAAGATTTCCAATGAAAGAGGTAAATGACACAGTAAAGCAAATCTTCGAATTTAATTCTTCTTCTTCTTATCTCTTTTCTCCTACATGCTTAATAAGAATTGGAAGGATATTCAACATGGCACGATGATTCCGTGTTTAAAGACACTGAGCTTGTCATCTAGAAAGTTGATAGCCTGGATTAGAAACCTGAGCACCATGCAACAGATCCCCTGTTACCTGTCCCAGCTCTTGATCACATAGCAGTTCAAAAGCATGCAAATGTGAACAGATAAATAGGTACCACTTTGGTGGGAAACTAAGAACATTCCATGGACATCAGCATATAGTCACTCTGCCCATGTGACCATGGAAATGTCTTTAGACAATGCTAGGTCTTTCAACTAAGAAATGGAAACGAGTACCATCTTCTAGAGTCAGATGTGACTGGACAGGGGAAACCTTTACTTTTATCTATCAACAATCATGTCACCCAGGAGAAGTCACAGATGATTTAGAGCAGGGTTGTCAAACACAAGACCCACGGGCAAGATCTGGCCTGTGATGTTGTTGGATTTGGCCTGCAGGGCCATCCTGGAAAATGTAAGGGGCTGTCCCATGTCACTTTGGCCAATCTAAAGAGGAAACATGCCCGCAGTTTGGGGAATAGTGTTCAGGCTGGCTATGCCTACCCAGTCGGCCATGCCCACCCAATTAGACACACCTACCCAGCTCCTTGAGGTCAACCACAGCCCTGACATGGCCCTCAATGAAATTGAGTTCGACACCTTGATTTAGAGAGTTGCAGAAAGGGCTAACTGAAAGGACATATCTTCCCTCCAAACCTGGAGCTATACACAGTAGCACCTTTTCCCCTCCAATCCATTATTCCTTGATGGTGTGTGTGTTCAAGGGAAATAATGTACATGAAGCAGAATTGTGCTAAGGATGGGAAAGCAAAATATTGAATTTCCAAATACCCAAATGTTCCTTTGCACTACTGATGCTTTAGAAAGTGTGGAATACCGCCTCTAACGAGGGGTGGCAGTGGCTCACGTGATAAGACAGTGGGGCTGTGCATTGCAGAGGTCAGCAGCTCAGGGGTTCAATTCCTGTGAGCGAAGAAACCATGGTAGGGCAAGAAAGGAGCCTTCTCCGATTGCCGACTGGCATTCAGGTGTCCCATGGGTAAAGATAACACTGCCTGAAAAAAATCCTTTCACAGAGGCAGACAACCACCTCGGTGATTCTTGGCTAAAACATGCCATACACAAAATAACCTCTTATAATTTTAAAACAGAATAAAACTAAACTTCAGAGTGTTGGCAGCACTGCAGAAGAACATTTGTGTAGGTTTTGTGCTTTAAACAAATTTAGAACACATTATATTTTTAAACAAGTATGAATAATCCAAATAATAAATATACCAATCTTTCCAGGATAGTGGACAATTGGACAATAATGGGTATTGCTTCACAAAGTTCATTTCTCTTGTGGAATCATGAGAGGTGGGCCTCTATTTAAAAGATTGACATGACAACTGAGTGATTTCACATAAAAATTAACACTGTCTTTATCTGTTTTCCCACATTCAGATACAGAAGATTGCTTCAAATGTCCATCTGATCAGTATCCAAACCAGAGACAAGATGAATGTTTGCCCAAAATTGTAGTTTTTTTGTCTTATGAAGAACCTTTGGGCATCTCCTTAGTCACAAGTGCCATCTTCTTCTTCTCAATCACAATTTTGGTATTAAAAATATTCCACCTGCACAAAGATAGTCCCATAGTCAAAGCCAATAATCGGGACCTCAGCTATGCTCTCCTGATCTCTCTTTTGCTCTGCTTCCTTTCACCTTTCCTATTTATTGGTAAACCTGGGGTGATGACCTGCTTTCTTCGGCAACCAGCCTTTGGTATCATCTTCTCACTGGCTGTTTCCTGTGTGTTAGCTAAAACCATCACTGTGGTGGTAGCTTTCATGGCCACCAAGCCAGGATCCAGTATGAGGAAGTGGATGGGAAAGAGGCTTACATATTTTATTGTCCTTTCCAGCTCTCTAATCCCAGTAGGCATGTGTGCTATATGGCTAACAATCTCTCCCCCATTCCCCAATTTGGACATGGACATGCTGACCACTGAGATAGTAGCAGAGTGTAAGGAAGGTTCTGTCACTATGTTTTATCTTGTCTTAGGCTACATGGGACTTCTGTCCATCATCAGTTTCAGTGTTGCTTTTCTAGCTAGGAAGTTGCCTGATAATTTCAATGAAGCCAAATTCATCACCTTCAGCATGCTGGTATTTACCAGTGTTTGGTTGTCCTTTGTTCCAACCTATCTGAGCACCAAGGGAAAATATATGGTAGCTGTGGAGATCTTTTCCATCTTGGCCTCAAGTGCTGGGCTTTTGGGATGCATATTTTTCCCTAAATGTTTCATAATTGTGCTGAGGCCTGAACTGAACAACAAGGATCACCTCATGAGAAGAAAGCAAATGCAAAAATAATACACAATGGATACCTCTTTTGGGACAGATACAATGGACTTTATGTATCTGCTGATGAAATAATACATTCTGTTTTAATTTATTTTTCAATGTACTTGTTCATCCCAACCCTCACCGAAAAATTGCAGTGAAGATGCTGAAAAGGCATGTAAATGAAAGATGAAGAATACAGATACCATAAAGATAAATAAGGAAGTGAGACAAGGCTGCCCCCTAGCTCCTCTATTGTATATATTGGCAGAAGAGACTCTCTTAGTACAAATTAGGCAAAAACAAGAAATTAGAGGACTAAAAATAAAAAAGAGGAATATAAACTCCAGGCATTGGCCGATGATATGGCATTTATATTAGAAGAACCCTTAGAAGCGAGCCCTATACTATGAAGAGAAATAGAAGAATACAGAAAAGTGGCAGGGTTCAAAATTAACAAAGAAAAAACAAAAGTGTTAACAAAAAACTGTACAAAGGAGCAGAAGGAAGAACTTGCAAATAAATTAGATATGCAGGTGGTAAATAAAGTAAAATACCTAGGGATCTACTTGACTGCTAGATGTTCGTTATTAAAAAAGATAACTATGATAAGTTAATAATGCAAATAGTTAAAGATTTAGATATTTGGGCCAAATTGTAGTTATCGCTATTGGGGCGTATTTCAATAATAAAAATGAACATTTTGCCAAAATTGTTGTTCTTGTTTCAGACAGTGCCAGTCAAGTTGGAAAATAATTTTTTTGTAGAATTAAACAAATGTGTATCTAAATTTATATGGCAGAGGAAAAAACCCAGAGTGAAATATAAATTATTACAGGATGCCAAGAAAAAAAGGAGGATTTGGCCTTCCAGATTTTGAATTATATTATGATGCTGCTATAGTAAACTGGCTTAAGGTTTGGATTAAATTAGAAAATAGAAGGTTATTAGTATTAGAAAGTTTTGATCTCCAACTTGGCTGGCACGCCTTCATGTGGGATGGAAAATCTAAACAACATTCATATTTCCAAAGGCACCATGTAAGAAATGTGTTGTTCAATATCTGGGGAAAGATTTAAAAAAAACCACTACCCAAAGGTTCCATTGTGGCTATCTACATTGGAAGCAGTCACACATCCAAATGTATTGGATTATGAAAATATTGTCAGGTATAAAGATTTATTATATGACACTGGAGAGCATAAAAATAGGAACCAAATACAAATTCAAGGAAAGGAGATAGCATGGTGGCCCTTTGCACAAATACAAACCCATTATAAAAAAGATAGAGAACAATTTGGCTTTAATATGACCCCACAAGAATTAGATAAAATATGGCTAGGAGAGGAAAAGAAAACAATTAGTAAAACATATAAATATCTTTTGGACTACATATTAAAAGAAGAAACAGTCACAGAATCGATGATAATTTGGGCTAAAAACATGGGTGATAGTATTAAATTAGATAAGTGGGAACACATCTGGCAAACAAATTACAAATTAACCATGTCAGTCTCGTATAAAAAAACTTGTATAAAATGGTTCATCTCTGGCACCTACCTCCTGCGAGACTGGCTAAGATGTCCCCCAACCTACCACCCAACTGTTGGAAATGTAACTACACACAAGGAACATATTTTCACATGTGGTGGATTTGCCCATGTGTTCAGAAGTTTTGGAGAAATATTAGAAATTGGATTTTAAATATAACAAAACAAAATTTAAAACTTCAACCCGAAACCTTTCTGCTAAGTATGATAGATTTAAACATGGAGAAAAAATATAAATATTTAATTTTGCACATCATAACTGTGGCCAGAATAAACTTCGCACAAAACTGGAAACTGTCATTCCTTCAGAGGATATGGTAATTAAAAAAATACATGAATGCGCTGAGATGGATAGCCTAACCAAATTGTTAAAAAATAAACAAGATAGTGACTATTACGAAATATGGAACATTTGGTATGAGTGGTTAAAGAAAAGGTAATATTTGATATTTGGATAAGTTATGGAAATGACAGAAGACGTGCATTTAATCATAAACTATATAGAGAAATTAAAATATTAAAAGAACGAAGGAGTTATTGTAACCAGGCAGATCACATCAATGATAAAGATAAAGAAAAAAAAAAACATTGCTCAATATATGCTGTAAAATGTGTGTGTGTGTGTGTGTGTGTGTGTGTGTGTGTATAGATAGATAGATAGATAGATAGATAGATAGATAGATAGATAGATAGATAGATAGATAGATAGATA